ACACACACACACACACACACCCAAGCACGCAACTTTCCGACTATTGTGTCTCTCTTTTATGTTTATGTAGGGTTCTTCTCTCAGCCTACTTTTTAAAAACGCGAGCCATTTGGATTCTCAGTACGTGAGCTGCAAAATGGAGGTAAGATCAGAGCTGGTGTGAGATATACAGTACTTGGTGCACTTGCAGAGAGCAGCCAAAGAGAGAGAGAGGGCAGAGAGGGGAGAGTAATACAGTAGATGCTCACAATACCACAGTTTCATTGGAGTCTTTAATGCACGAGAGCATTCAGGAATATTTGGACGACACATCCATGTTTGTCGTTGGTGTCCGTGAACCTGCTGCAGCCACAACGGTCCCTTTTTCCATGACTTCATCGCTCTATTAATACAACATATCCTTTTCCTCCGGTTCTCCAGCTCCGCAGCGCTGAGCCGACTGACTGGTGTTAATCTCCCCCACCCTCGATTCTGACCTTACCTAGAAGTGGGGACATGACAAAACTGAAACCGGATCAGCATCTACGAGTAACTCCGACCTTCTCTAACCTTGCCCTCCACTAAGAGACTGAGATTATTATTGCTGGGCTCTCTATTGCTAACTGTGTTGCTGCGGTGCTGCAATGCTAGAGCAGTCTGTGACAAGCAGGTCCACCACCGTGTTGCCGGTGACATACACAGTGGGTGCTGTCACCATGTTGCTAAGGGAGACGGAGCTGCTGGCAGCCACGTTAGAGGTGACGGGGCTCGGGGCACCGTGGCTGTTGCCATGGGTGCCCATGTGCCCCTGGAGCTGTGTGGGCGTCTTGCAGTGGACGCCACACAAGTGGCAGACGAGTACGCCACCGGAGGCTGTGCCGCCAAAGCCCCCTGGACTGTCTTTCCACTCCTGGCCATGGTGCTTCTGGGCATGGACACGGAGGTACGTCAGTGTGGTAAAACCTGACGGAGGAGAGAGAGAGAAGGGGAGAGAGAGAGAGAGAACAACGGTTATTTCAGCAAGAGATGTTGATGTAACATGTGATAAATTGATGTCTGATCAATAGTCACCAGTCACAGGTGAAAGACAGCCTCAGTGTAATCAAACTGTCACTAACACAGATGGAAGAAGCATTAAATAGAAAACATTAAAGTCTACTCAATGTAATTGTCTCAATCCCAGCAAAAAAAGGTTTTTAAGTGTGTTTCTCAAAATATCAAGTTATTTCTTTAAATGTCTTATGACGTCACTCTTTGAAACAAAGCAACAACAGGTTTGAAATACAGGATGAATACTGAACTATGTGTTATACCTGCATTGCCTTTTTGTTTTTAATCATTATTACATATTTGTCAGTAGGGAGACAATAGCAGACGTTGTTCATGGTCAGCGTCAAAACCAATAACTACAGTGTCGCCCCGCTGCCAGTATTTATTTCAACACATACATGAATCATAGTGGTGTGGACTTACTGCGGTTACAGAGGTGGCAGGCGTGGTGCTGCGACTGGTTGTGCACCCTCATGTGATCTGTGATGTAAGCAGCAGACAGGAGCTTTCCACAGATGTGGCAGGGGACCTTCTCCTCGTGGCGAATCATATGCGCACGCAAGCGATCCTTCGTGGCAAAGCTGGACTCACAGGTCTGAAAAAAGCAGCAAATCGATGAGGATTGAGAAACTAAAATTGAAACAGATGAAATAAAAAAGTATTTTAAACGTGTGCACAAAAATCCATTCCAAGACCGATACCAGAGCTCTTTAAATCTATACCCATGTAAACAGTGTGAGTTACACCTGCTGCATATTGTCAGAATCCAAAAGAATGTACTTTAACCACATCTGTTTATCTACAGAGATAAGTTGTGGGTGGACGTGACGTACTGGGCATTTGAAAGGTCGCTCTGAGGAGTGCACCTGTCGGACGTGACTGTTCAGATGGTCAGGCCTGGGGAAAGACAGAGAGGAGACACATTAGCACAGGTCAACACTACATGAGTTCATTACCTTCGTCTGCCCTGACACCGATGGGAACGTTTGTGTGAAATTTCAAAATAAAGTTATTTCTCTGGCAACATAACAAATTTCGTGGATACCTGAGCCGAGGCCATCGGGTTCACACTCAAATTATAAACGATATTTAGGCTCGCGTCTGTCACTTTGGCTGGGCTGGTTTTTTTTAAACTGCATGTGTCTGTAACTTCGAAAATAACCAATAACCATGTGTCTCTGGGACAGAGTAACACAAACTCAGTGGAGCTGACATTAACTGCATCGGGCTCGGACTGGATTGGACAGGTAAATGTCTCCTGAGCTGCTCTCTATTTAAACCACTGAAGAAGTTTAATGAAGTGGATTTATCTTTCAATGCCATGGGTTTAAACTTCGTAGTAACGGAGTAGATAATCATTATTGATATTTTACAGACAAACTTGTGAAATGCATCACCTGGAGAAAGCCTTGCCACAGTGGGGACAGACGTAGGGTTTTTCCACTCCGCCCTGGTGGGAGCGCACGTGGTGGCTCATGCGGTCCTTCCTCTTGAAGCGCTGCTGGCAGATGGGACAGGAGAACGGCTTCTCGTCCGAGTGTGACAGGCGGTGGCGGTTGAGGTGGTAGACGTCGCGGAAGGCCTTCCCGCATGTCTCGCAGGCGTGGTTCTTCCTCACCGGGTTTGGGTTGGGATTCGAGGGCCGCTGAGGCAGAAACAGACAAACACGCTGCAGAGTTTAGATGGGAGGCATTTTAATAACCATCATAGATAAAAAAGAAATTAATTTAAAGATCTCTGACAGTTGATTCACGTGTTAGATTGTCGACTTCCTGTTGGATGTGAAGTCTGCCTTCACACTGTGTGTAACAGAGAACATGCAGGGGAGCGTGGGGGGGCTTCTAGCACGGTGTTTCTCAAACTGGGGACCAGAGCCAAACACTGGGATGGAATTTACTGGTCCCTGAATGAATGAATGCAAATTAATATTTATCCAATTCAAACACACAGGAGTATTTTAATAAAAAAAGCCGGTGACATATTGTCCTAGACAATGACAGAAGATGGGTTAACCATCCCTGTGGCCCGGCAGCTTAAGAAACAATGTGCTTGAAGGATTGGGGTTGTCGACAGCCATCTCCACAAGGCCCTGACCCACCTGTACTGTCGCCCCTGTGGCCATGACGACAGCAGCAGGAGGCGGAGCATGGGGGTTAACACTAGCCATTAGGTTTGGCATGGCAACCCCTTCACCATCCTGACTACCCAGGGGAGGCTGCTGTGCACCCACCAGCACGCCGGGAGGGGCGAGAGGGGGAGGCGCGGAGAGGTGGAGCAGGGAGAGGGGAACAGTGGGCCTCTCCGTCCTCCCTCCGGCCCCCACCGCCATCACCGACGGGGCCGCCACAGCCACCTGGCCGGCTGCTCCCTCCTTTGCCCCCTCCGCCTGCTCTCTGGCCCTGTCCTTCATGCGTACCCCAGTGTGGACCGACTGGTGCCGCCGCAGGTTGTAGTTGTTCTTGAACTGCTTGTTGCAGATGGCACAGATGTGGGGCACGCGGGTCGGCCGAGACACTGGCTTCACTGGACCGGAGGGAGGTGGGAGACAAGACAAGACAGAGAGAGAGAAAGAAATCATTCATTTCAAAGATGGAAAGTGCATAAAATTCTCATCACTACATATTGTGCTCTGCAACTGATTTCAGTATTGTTTAACATTTTAAAGATCGAGCAGCTAACTGAATTATAGAATCTGTGAAGTTTATTCTGATTCTGATCACTATCACAAGAGGTTGGAGAAATATTAACAATGGAGAGCTAAGAAAACTGTGAGATATCAATAATTGAATATCTATAATTAACTAATTGTATCTTTACAATTTAACAAGGCTTAATTTTGTTTTTACGAACCAAGATTACCTGTGAATGTTAAAATATTGTATATTTAGCGTGGATGCGTACGAGCAATTACATTGACAGAGGCTAATAGCAGTAACTACACACTACTGAAAAAACTATATTGACAAATATTAAAAGGTTGTTGATCGTGTCATGTCCTGAATGTTAAATACTGGGTTCTGAATTAAAAAAACTAAATAGAGTTGTAACACGCAACACAGAAAAACACAAAACATAGCTAATGTGATTTAAATTATTTGACTGTAGTTCTGAAGTACAGATCTCTGTACTGATCAGATTAAATGTATATTATTCTGAATTCCTGAAAATAGAGGAGGATTCAGACTTAAAGTAAAACAGATAAATCAGATTTTTGTTGCCATTGTGTGTGTCTGTCTTCACTGGACTTCTGAGTGTGGTTGTGGATGATCTAAATCATGTCCTCCATGTGCTGCTCGGTGTGTTGAGGTGCAGGGTCCCTCACCGGGCAGGGGATCCTCATTGAGGGCAGCAGTGTCCACAGTAGAAGGAGGCTGTGCTATGTGCTCTGTGGGTGGGGTTTGGGGAGAACTCGTATGCACGGGCATGAGCTCTGATTGGAGACTCCCCTCCACTTGGTTTTGGGTGGGAGTATGCTGGAGAAGCAAGGAGAAGGCCATCACCAAAAGTAAACACAAGTCACAGCATAATGTTGAGGTGTGATAGAAGATGTGCACGGCTGCAGGACACTCACTGACAGAGTGATGGAGAGGGAGAGAAATGACAAGCAGAGAGAAAGAAGGGGCCTGAAAACGGCCCCGCTCATCAACCTACCTGGAAGAGAAAATTGCTCCAAGCAGCATCCATTTTGCGCCACGGCGATGGAGATTATAAAGTCAGTTCCTGATTGAGATCGAGATCCTGTGCATGGTGTGACTGGGCCCAGCGATGGTGGAGGCGCACACGGCCGTGCGTCCTGCAGCGCAAACCACGGCCTCCCGGATTCTGTCGCAAAACGTGGATGAAGTGGTCTGCAGAAATGTGCTGTTCTCATCGAGGCGGCCTAATGCTCCGACATTAACATGCACGCAGCCGATGGCTAACGCGGGGCTGCCGTGTGCGCACAGGGAGGCAGCGGCGGCGGAGCAGGCCAGCTGCAGCACGGGCCTGTTCCTCCGTTCACTTTGATTTCTAACTTTAATTCATCGAATCTCCCTGAAAACGCAACAGCGCGCTGTTAAACTCTGTCAGAAATAACCAAAAGAAACAAAAACAAACCCCGCACGGCTCGGTGTTACACTTTAGCAACAAACAAAAAAACAATCTGCGTAAAATAAATGCGCTTTTACGCACGGAAGCAAATATGGGTAATAACACACGCGTCTGGCGGCACGGCAGCCCATGCTTTGCTTTTAATTTGTGGATCTATATTTTCCCCGATTTCCTCTCAATAGGCCACTCGGGTGTTTGTCGAAGCCTCGCTGTTGGTTTCAAGCTCTGACCCCGGCGAGCGGCGCTGTCGCCGGGCCGCAGCCCATCGCTCCACCTCGGCCGTTCAGCTGCGAGGATGTCATCTTTCTTTTTTTATCGCCCGCTCTCCCTCCTCCCTCCCTGTCTCTTTCTTCCTTTTCTTTTTTAATTCCTCTTTCTTCTCCCCCTCCTCTCCTTTTCCTCGCACCGCTATGTCCCACTCGCTCTTAAAGGGATGGGGTTTCCTCTCCGGACTCCCCTCCCTCCTCCCTCTCATTTCCGTCTCCCTCGGCGGGGCCCGTCCTCCCCCCCCCTTCCTTCCTGGGATTGTGGGCCGACACAAAACAGGGCCTCCATCACGCTGTTGTTTTTCTCTCCCTCCCTCCCTCCCCCTTTCTTCCCGGGGCCAACTGGAGCAGATCAGCTCCGGCTCTGCAGAAAAAAAAACAGCCAGAATGACTTTCCATTAATGACAGACGCATCTTAAAGGGCAGTGCGCACAGATCCAGCCCATAATAATGATGTCAGAGTCAGATATAGTACAAGAGGACGAATAGCAGCTCAGCACACACACACAATAGATGAGAGATGATGAGGATTATGGTGTGCATTACATAAACACTGGTAAAAAAACATCCACAGAAACACACACAGGACAGGACATAGTGCTAATGACCTAAATATATAACTCCAAGCGGTGAGAACGTATAATAAGCTGCCCCTGCTCCTCCGAGGCCTCATATGAAACCACAGGTAAATTCACCAGAGACATGTTTTTATTTGGATCCCCTGAACACGGCTTATTTTCTTCCATCTAGATCTTTGACTTATCCTCAGTTAAAGAAAGGAAAATGTTGGGAAAAAACAAACAATTTTGTTAAAGAATATTAAATAAAAACAACCTGGAACTATGGATTCTCTCATGTCCCTTCCTGCAACCAAGTTTTTGTAGTGTAGTTTTTGCATAATCCAACAAACAAACCGATGGACGGAGGCGAAAATGGTTCATCGTTTTCGTCAAAGTCCTTGAGTGTGCGGACCAAATAATAACTGAAAAAATAATGAAAATAATCATTAGTTGTCTCATTACACGATGGTCTTATTTGAATTCAGCCAGTTTTCATCCGCTCACACCTGTTCTGTTCCAGCTCTATAATAAACATCTTGAAGAACTTGTCATCAGGGTGAAGTCAAATCCAGACGAGTTAATGTGTTAATATCAATTTATTATCTTTATTTTTTTTTTAAATTACTTTTTAAAGCACCCACTTCTTTTCCAATACACGTGTCAAGACCCTTCCTCCTTCTCAAGCTTGGAATCGCTTGATTTGAATATTTAATTATAAGGATTTCACCCCCCCCCCCCCCCCCCCCCCCCCCCCCCCCCCCCACCTCAAAGAAAAAAACAAAAACAAAAACAAACTCTGCAAGTCACAGATGAGGCTGTGTTGCTTTTGCTGCTTCATCATCTTCATCGTCTTC